TTAAGAAATCCTACTCTGTTTAACAATGCTTTAATAATATTAATTTAGAAGTTCTTCCTTAACCGATTTTCGACTTTATTCGGAACATTTAATGGAATTCATCTCAACGGTAAAAAACACTCGGTTTGTTTAATTTACTATTATTATAAAGTTCTATTCGGCTAAAATATAATATAGGTTATAATTACTACCTTTCATGACTTTTTTTTAAATTGTAATTTATTGTCATACAATGTCGATCGCCCGCAGAAGCGTAAGCCAATTCAAAAGTCTAACATAATTAGTCTCCTATATTATACTGACAAATCATAAGAACTGCTCGATAATTTTTGATGAATTAGGTTTATTAATGTTAAGGTTCATACACCAGTTTAAATCTAATATCATCGAAAATAGATCAACCGTTCTTTAAATATCACTGTTTTATGATTCATCGTAACAAGAATGATCACTTTTGGTTTTGGTTTAATTTCTTCTAAAAGAATTTTCTCACGTTTGAGATATACAATTCACATATGAATAGTGGCCAAGCTTATGAGTTTTTAGTACGATGGCATGCTACTTGTCAAATCTACACATGGTGGAGTCAATAGAAAAGGGTCAATTATCTTTTAAGTAAAAGTTTTCTTAACTTTAGACTTAAATATCTCAACAACTATCTAATCAAATTTAATAAAAAAATTTTTATCAAATTTGATTAGATATTTGTTAAAATATTTTAGTTTAAAAATTAAAAAAAGTTTACTAAAATGATTTGTCCCTTTTCTATTGACTTCCCCCTACATGGTGCTCATTCATTATTAAAAGAGAAGTTACTAATTTGATGAAATAAATTAAAGAATGATTGAATCAATTTAGTAGTTTTGAACTTTAATGAGTCTACAAACTTTAGAATTTATTTAAGCCTAAAATTATCAAAAGTGAATCAATCAATTTGAGGTATTATTATTGTATTTAGAGTATTTTTGAAAATCTTGCGTAATTTATAAAGTCAATATCTCAAGAAAAATTGTTCATTGTTATAATTTTAGATTTAAATAAATGTCAAAAACAGAAGTCAATAGCATTTGTTTAAACCAAGTTAAATTCTCAGATATCAGCATTTTATGATTAACTACTTTTTTTCTTATGCTTTTAAGTTAAATTAATAATACTGCAGACAAATAGCCATCAAAATGCTAATATCTGAAGAATAGCTGATCTGTTTTTGATATTTTAGAACTTAAATAAATGCTATAAATTTGTAGAACTTGGTTAAGTCTTAAATTATCAAAATTGCATTTATCATTTTCGATTGCAGAAGGACAAAAAATTATATACTCAATTCTTATAATATATAGTAGCTGTAGTAATTACATACAGTAATTTATAAAGACTGGCTGGATACAGACGTATTTATTCTTCAAGTTATATATTATGCATTTTGTGATCTTATTACTTCATTATCTATTTTTAATTTATTTAACTATAATAATGAAATGCAATTGATTGATGAGCTATATTCCGAAACCATGATTTATTAAATCCACAGTTATGATATATCTATATTATAATGTTATAAGATACTTTATTAGTAACTTTATTAATATAACCTATATTTTATTTTAGCATTATTTTTTTAACTTGAATATTAATAAGAAAATTTTCTCTATAGTTTAATAAAATTTTTAATAGACATAATAGAAGACCAATTACCAATACTACTATTGCAAAAAGAAAAAATGTTTTGTTACTTGGTAGTGGTTTTGTTTCTAGACCTTTAGTAGATTACTTGGCAAAACAAAAAGACTTAAAATTAATTATTGGTAAGCTATCTATGCATTTTGTTAAAAAAATTTATATGTTGATAAGAATTTTAGTTTATATTTTTTAATTTCTTAGTTATGTTAGTCAATATGTTAGTTAATATTCACAATATGTTTATTAACTATTTTATTTATACTATTTCATTTAGCAAGTAATTCAAAGGCTGATGCTATCTCTCTAATTAGAAATCATAAAGAAATAGATGTTGTTGATTTAGATGTTATGAATCAAGAAAATTTAAGTAAAATAGTTCAAGGGTCAGATATTGTTGTCAGGTAATTTAAGATTTACTTATGTAATTTATAGTATTTTTAAAATTTATAATACTAATACTTAGATATATATTATAATTTTAGTTTTATTCCAGCAAATTTACATCCTATAGTAGCGGAAACTTGTATAAAATACAAGAAAAATATGGTAACAGCTAGCTATATATCTTCAGAAATGAGAGAATTAGATAATAGGTAAAATATATTATTTTTTATTATGCTAATTATTTATAAAATCTAAATTAATGTTATAAAATATTATTTATAAGAGCCAAACAGGCTGGAATAACTATCCTTAATGAAATAGGTGTTGATCCAGGAATTGATCATCTATCGGCAATGAAAATTATTGATGATGTAAAAGCAAAGGGTGGAGAGGCATGATAT